CTCTAACCATTGCCCAAGACCATCAAGTAATCACTCCTCTTTTTCCAAGCCTCAACTATCAGATCCTGTAGAGACAGCCCCACCCTTGCCAAGGACATCACCTCCAACAAGGACCTCAAAAATAAAACAAAATAAACAAAACCCTACGTGTACAAAGTTAACTTTCGTTTCTTTTCTAAACAGTTCCTTTTCATAACTTTCCTGTTTCTATTAAAAACTACTATCCATTGGTTACTCACAGCTGAAACGTTTTTGACTCTGTCCTTTTCATTTCTCTTTATACCCAGTCATGAGCCCAGACAAGTAGACAGCAAATTCCTTCACTCACCATCCCCACTTGTCTATCCTCACAATCTCCAGCCTCCGTTACCTCCCATCTGGGATACTGCAAGTTTCCTAATTCCAGTATGCCCAATCCACTCTAACCCAGTACACATGCTACAGCCCAAGTAAGTGACTTCCTAAAGGGTACTGCTGATCATGGCCCATCACCTCCCAGAAAATTTGGAGGCTCTATGGCACCTACCTAACTAGCCTGGTACTCAGTCTTCCATGCATTAACTGCAATCTATTTCTATAGCTTTATCACCAGCAATAACTCTCTTATATACATACACACACACATACTTATATTCTACATTGCAATCAAAATAAATTAGACAGGAGTGCCTGGGTGGCTAAGTCGGTTAAGCATCCCACTCAATTTTGGCTCAGGTCATGATTTCACAATTGCGAGATGCAGCCCAGCATCAGACTTTGTGCAGACAGCACAGAGACTGTCTGGGGCTCTCTCCCCCTCTTTCAGACACTCCCCCACTCATGGGTGGGCTCATGTGCACTCTCTTTTTCTCTCTCTAAATAAACTTTGATTAATTAATTGTACAGAAGACCCCATAAATGCCAGTTTAATTCTGTCAGCTGCAATACTTCACAGGGATGCCTTGGAGCTAAGAGCACTCAAAAAAATATCCACTGAATGAATGAATGAATAGAATGAGTTTACCTCTCCCTCCCATATTTCTAATCACATCCCACCTGTCTTCCAGAGTTCACTTCAAGAAGCTTTTTTCATAAAATAATCCCACCAGTAAGAAGTAATCACCTCTTCCTCTAAAATGTCGTGGCCACTTATCTTCTAATCCACTCAACATCCTCTATCCAATAATACTTATTTCTTATCTCTACAACCACACTTTTCATTAAGGATAAGGTAACTGAGTAATATAATCAATAAAGGAATAAAAGGAAAAGAAAGGGAGAGAGAAAGGGAGGACCAACCTTCTCTGCTGATTCATGATTTTCTTAATTTACCTACAAAAATTTAAACTCTTTGAAGGCAAAGATTTCTATTTGGCTTTTATTTCCCCCACCTTTACTGTCATCCTTAGCATTTGGCGTAATATCTAACACATGAATTGCCTATTACATAGTTAATGAATATCCATTTACTGTGTCAAATATTGTGAAAGCAATTCGGAAAAACAAATGTCTAAAATATTTTAGAAAGCCCATACAGTTTTACAAACTGATACATTTTAACACTTGTTTTGGATATATAATTTTTAGTCTGTATTTAATAAACTAATTATATGATATTTACTCCAAGGAGATATTAACTCTTAAGAGCCTAAAAATTCTAATCTTGTTAGAAATTAACATGGTACCTTACACAGAGTAAACACACAAAGGTTACTATAGGAATGAATGTATTGTAATGAATGAATGAATGAATAAATTAAGGCAAAAACTCTACTCCTAGCCAATAAATCGGTAAACATCAAACTTAAAAGTCAAAACAAAAAGGGAAGACCTAAATAGAATTTTTTAAAATAATTTCCATTCCAGAAACACTGGCAAGATGGACAGAACTAAATCAATTCCAAAGTTTCTCAGTTAAGCAGACAAGTGACAGACAAAACACAACTGCATAGTTGCAGTATCAACATCTTGTGGGTGAAAGGTATGTACTGGGATTTAACACTTCTTGCTAAGCCTTTCAGTCAAGAATCCTCTTTTTCTATCAGCAACAATAAGGGCATTTTTTTAATGGAGTGCAACAAAAGTAACAGAAAATATCTCATTTGTCATCAATTAAAAGAGGAAAAATGAGGACACCTGAATGGTTCAGTCAGCGGAGCACGTGACTCTTGGTCTCAGGATCATGAGTTCAAGCCCCATGCTGGGTGTAGAGATTACTTACATAAATAAAACTTTAGGGGCACCTGCGTGTCTTAGTCAGTTAAGCATCTGACTTCAGCTCAGGTCATGGTCTCATGATTCATGAGTTCGAGCCCCACACTGAGCTCTCTACTGTCAGCTCAGCTCATTTTGGATCTTGTCTCCCTCTCTCTGCCCCTCCTCTGCTCACACACTCATGTGCCCTCAATCTCTCAAAAATAAATAGGGTGCCTAGATGGCATCAGACTCTTGGTTTTGGCTCAGGTCATGATCTCATGGTTCATGGATTCAAGCCCCAAGTAAGGCTCTGCACTGACTTTGGTTCAAAGCAAAAAACTTTTAACATTGACAAGATTTTCAATGTCTGTAAATTAATAAATATGACAACCACAACATAAAACAGGAAGGTTAAAGGGACATAAATGGTGATATAGTTTCCACATTCCTCTTAAAGTTGTAAAATATTAATTTTAAGTAGACTCAAAGTTATATATTATAATCTCTAGAGTAATCATTTTTAAAACTACAGAAATAATAGTCAAAAACTCAGTATTAAAATGAAATACTAAAATATGTTCAAACAATCTAAAATAAAGGAGAAACGGGGTGCCTGGGCGGCTTGGTCGGTTAAGCGTCCGACTTTCGCTTAGGTCATGATCTCGCGGTTCGTGGGTTCGAGCCCCGCGTCGGGCTCTGTGCTGACTGCCAGCTCAGAGCCTGGAGCCTGTTTCAGTCTGTGACTCCCTCTCTCTCTGACCCTCCCCTGCTCACGCTGTCTCTCTCTCTCTCTCCTAGAAATAAATAAAAAAAAACATTTAAAAAAATAATAATAATAAAAAATAAAATAAAATAAAATAAAATAAAGGAGAAACAGTGGAACAAAAATATGGAAAACATGAACCAAATAATAAAATTAGTACCCCTAAATCTAACCATATCAATAATCACATCAAATGTAAATGGTTTAACCATAACAATTAAAAGACAGATTGTTTGCATGGATTTAAAAAAAAAACAATACCCAACTACACGCTATCTATAGGAAATCCACTTTAAATATAGAGCATAGGTAAATGAAAAGTAAAAACAGTAGGGGCACCTGGGTGGCTCAGTAGGTCAAGCTTCTGACTCCTGGTTTCGGCTCATGTCATGATCTCACAGCTTGCGGGATTGAGCCCAGCACTGGGCTCTCCACTAACAGCATGGAGCCTGCTTGAGATTACCTCCTTCTCTCCCTCCCTCCGTCCTTTCTCTTTGCCTCTCCCCTGCTCATGTCCCCACCCTCAAATAAACTTTAAAAAAAAAAAAAAGTAAGACACAGCTCTACCCATAATCACCAAAAAGCAGAAATAACACAAATGTTCAAGGGTGAATGAATTAACTTGGGTACAACCATACAATGGATTACTTAATAAAAAAGAATTATTAATACACAGAATAACATGGATGAAGTCTCTAAGGCATTACCCTGAGTAAAAGAAGGCAGTATCAAAAGGTTACATACTAAATGACTCCATTTACATGACTCTATGGAAAAGACAAAACTCCAGCAATTAAGAATACACCAGACTGTTGGTTGACCCCAACTGGGGGTTAGTGGGGCAGCATGAAGCTTTCAGGGATGACAGAACTGATGTAAAAACTGATTTTGGTAGTAAAGAAATTTATGCATATGTTAAAACTCACAGAACCTTACAACAAAAAAGTCAACTTTACTGTTAATTTAAAAGTAAAATAAAGATTAGGAGAATGATCTCTGTGAACCCTTCCAGACTATGATTTTATGAATGATAAGGAGAGGAAAAGGAAGATGGGGAAAGGAAAGCAAATGCTAAACCCTACTGGCCTAAAAACCACTACTCATAAGAGTACTGCACAAAATAAACAAACCCAATCTTCAGAAATTCATTCCCAGAAGAGGCTAAGAAAACCAGACATTCAGATCCAAAATGTGGATATTAGAAAATGCCTGTGAATGGCTCTTCTTGTCTGTTTCTATATTTTATACTTCCAAGAAGCTGCCAACTTCTCCTGGCTAAGTGCCACTTTCCCTGCTTGGAGTTACTCAATTTACAAGCATTCCTTTATTTATACCTTACACTCTCAATGATGGGGTCTTTGACAGTCACAATAAAGATCCTGCCAGAAAGATCAGTGCTCCTCACCCGGAACTAAGGTCCCTGCGGGACACATCACACACACACGTGACTGACCTGAGGACCCTAGGCAGGAAGGTCCTCCTCATGAGTCAGAAGGCGTCCCCACCCACCAAAGCCCCCAAAGGAGACCAGGCTCTGGGAACTTCTCCCTCCTCTGAACAGCCAGACTGCCTGGGGTGCAGCTGGCCGTTTCAAGGGCTGCCCTGGTGTGGAGCGTGCGCTCCAAAGAAGGCTCTGCCCAGTGACCTTGGGTAAATCCCTTCCTCTTCCAGAGTGCAGCGGTAATCTGGGTATGTAGTCTAAGGGAGCTTCCCACCGCCCTGTCCGTGTCGGGGATTTTCTGGGTCTCCCCTCACCGACAAGAGCCCAGCTCGCCTAGACCCCATCCCCGCCCACCCTCCTCATCTATCCCCCCCTCACGAGGAGGGGACTAACTACCGGCCCGAGGGCACGGCCTGAACGCACGAGGAAAGCAGAACCGCCAAATCCCGGTCTCTGGCCCCTCTGCCCGGAGCAGGCCGCCCGGCCGCATTCCTGCCCGCCCCTCCTCGCGCTCACCACCAACGGGGACCGGCTTCCACCGGGGGCAGTGGAGCGTGCACCGGGTCCCGGCGGGGTGGGGACCCGGGCGAAGCTGCGGGGTGGGGGGCGGGGAGAGCCCACCTTGAGCTGGGATTTGGAGACCTTGCCGCTGTGGTCCAGGTCCAATGCGGTGAAGGCATGCCAGATGGCCTTGAGCAGCTCGTCCTTCAAGCCTCCCATGGCGGCGGCGCGTCTACCCTGACTGCCAGCCTGCCTCGCCGACCCTGGGTCGAGTCTGACGCCCCTTGACTACCGCGGCCTCCGCCGCCGCCCGCCCTGCGGTCACCTGACCGTAAAGGCCCCGCCCTCAGCAGGACCCGCCCTCTCGGGTCTCGCCGGCAACCGCACGCACTAGGGTGGGAGCAGCCGGGTGGACTGGGCTTCCCACGCCTGCGGGTGGGCATCCAGGCCTTCTCTGCCGGCCTGGAAGCCGAGCACTACGCCGCATGCCTCTCGAGTTCCTCAGACCGCCTCAGGCCACCTTCGGGGCTCGCGTGCCCCTAAACAAGAGCCGCCTTCCGAGTTAAAATTTGAGAATCGGGGTGAGCGGACTCCCCGCTTCAGTCCGCGCTGCTCAGTGGAAAAGGGAGCCCTGGACCTGTCCCGCGGTCGCGCCACTGTCTGAAGAGAACTAACAGCCGGAAAAGTCCCCCAACAGGGGCTCTCAGTTCCTAGCCAGAGAGGATGTGGAGGGGGAGGGGAGGCAGGGAACGGCTTCTGAAGGAAGTTTTAGATTCATTTTTCAAACCTTTCCTGATGCCACCATAGAGTGGGCTCTGGGGTCACAGATAGGAAGTTTAAGGTTAGTTGAGAAGCTGCGCAGTAGACAACCTTTTCTTATTAAACCTCAGCTGTTGGTAGTCAGTTTACAACGTGGAAAGGGTTTGGCCCTGGTTATTCTGCTGTTCCTTGTGTTTCTGTGCTGGCATAATGGGCTATGAGAGAATCCCAGCAAATCACTCGACCCATTTTACTAGTCAGAATGAGTGGACCATTTAAAAGGACACATCCAAGCCTGTAAGAGCATCCTCCTCTTTGTAGGTGTTCAATTAATAGCTGTTAACAATGATCACCTAAGCTCTGTGGGCTTCAAATTCTCCACATAAAAATGAGCTCTTGCACCAGATATTCTGGAGGGGTTCTTCTAGGGGTCACATCCTAGGATATTAAGGATTGCTGGGTGACTTCAATCTGATTAAGTCACCAGGCACAGTGCCTTGTCTCTCCAATCCAAGACTAAATCTGGACAATATGAAGACAACAAATGCCAAGAGTTTTTAAAAGGAGAGCATTCTCAGATCAAATTTGGCTTTGTTTTCCTCTTTTATCTTCCTAAATGCCCATGTATGTACCTTATAAAAAAGGAAAAGTTCATATAAAGAAGAGGGATTTGGTAAAAGCAGAGAAGGAAGAAATTGCGCAATGAGCTTGAGACCAAAGGAAACTTGGCGGGGCAGAGGAAAGGATCGCTTAGGTGAAGGGAAGGAGCAGAAGCAAAGGGTCTGCTGGTCCCTCACTGTGAAGGCTCCTGAGGCCCTACCCTACTTCATCACCATTTTACAGGACTTTTCTTGCTGTGCCAGTATCATTTCTATCATTTATCTTTCCTGATTTCAATCCAAACCTGTCAGTCAGCAAAAACACATGATTCAACCTTTAATTTCTGAATGCCAACTCAGCTTTCCCTGGGTAGTGACAAAAAAATAAACTCTCCAAATTCTCAGGGTTCAGCTTAACCGCTAGATGGTTCTCTCAGTATCTGTTAGCACCAAATAAATATGCTTATTTCTTGATATATCACATGACTAGGACATTCTGAACTTCCACATTCCCACTTCTTCCACAATCCAAATTCTCATAATCCAAACAAATTTTAAAAGCAGAAAGATGTCATGAAAAGAACTGTGCTTTGGAAACTAACTGATTGTATTAATTATTTTGGCTGTGGAACCAATTAACCCTAAATTTAGCTTACACAATAATAAACGCTGTCTCAAAAAATAAACAAATAAATAAGCATTATCTCATTTTTTCAGTGACAGGGATGGGACACATAACTTGTCTCTTTAATTCATAGTTGTTCAGATGAAGAGGAGCTCCAATTAAGGACCCTCATACACCTGGACCTGACTTTGATGCGATCCTAGACTTCAAGCCAATTCCGTGAAACGGACATGACTTGTAGTGTCTGGAATGAGGTGAGGACTATGATGGATAATCTCCAAGATGGTAGCAATTAACTCTGTCCCTCTCTATGGATCCATACTGCTCTAAATATCAAAAGGCAAATCTACTTCCTCTCCCCTCAGATATGAGCTGGACTGAGTAGCCTGTTTGACCAACAGAATGTGGCAGAAGTAACAGCCTGGGACTTCTAAACTAGGTCATAAAAAGCCTTTCAACCTGGATTCAATCCTTCACCTGGATTTCTTGGAATTCTTACTCTTGGAATGCTCCCTCTTGGAACCTTGCTGCCACGCTGTGAGAAGCTAAGGTCACATGGAAAAGCCACAAAGAGAGAGAACAATGCTGGCCAGATCCCAGCTGTTTCAACCATACCAGCTTAGACATCAGATATGAATGAAGGTGCCATCTTAGACATTCTAGTCCCAACAGACACTACATGGAAAAGAACCCAAACCTGAGACATATGACCCAAGCCATTTTTGAGCCAATGCAGCTGAGGTCCCAGACATTGAGAAGCAAAGAAAAACCATTCCTTCTGTACCCTGCCCAAACTTCTGTCCACTGAATCATGAGCATAATGAAATGGTAGCTGTTTCATGCTACTAAGTTTTGAGTGGTTTGTTATGTAGCATTAGATAACTGGACAACAGTGAAAACATGATGTTCCTGAGATAATGTTTCCTTCCCCTGCCCACCAAAGAATATTCTGGCTTGGCCTACTCATTCCTCCCCTCCTCTGCCTTCCAGGAGAGTCCTACCTTACTGGACTAGTTCTTGAGTTGTTTCTTGTCATGGAGAATTAAGAAGAAAGGAAGCTAGAAAGACCACAATGCAGAAATTTGGGGTTTTGGAGGAGGGGCAATTGAGAAGAAAGACAAAGCAGCCCTAATGTGTGAAGACAATGGATGAGAAAAGGGAGATTCTAACAGGTCTCATGGAAGACTACATAGCTCCATAGTGTTTGAAAGGTATAGAAAAAGGATTTGAAACCTGTTCAAATAGTTTTGACTTTGTTCTGTCATTTAGGACTAGCTTAGTTATGGCTAATACTCGTGGCTTTCTAAGTGTTACAAACAAATAGCATGCCTTTCCCTTGGACTGCTTTCCAGACCATTCTGTTTTTCTGCTAAGTCCTATAAAGGGAAGGTATGGGTTGATATGAGGGTGTACACAGGTGAATATGCTGCTCTGTCAGGAACAGGGAGAGCTGCAAATGAGGAATGACAATGAGGCTGAATCCTGAAGGGTGAGTTGTAGCTAACTGGGCAAAAGTGAGAGAAGAAACTTCCAGACAATTAACAGCCTAGACAAAGCACAGTTTATTCAAGAACCCCAAGTGAAAGCAAATGTGGAAAACAAAGGTGAGAGAAGAGATGTAAGAAGAAATTGGAGAGGTTGGTATCTGAGGCCAAATAAACAGGAGCGCCAGGCCTGTCAGTTAGTTCTGTAGAGCTCTTATCTTCCCCAGGGGTCTGAAATACCCTTAAATCAGTGGCACAATCTGTCAGCAAGAAGCAGAAATGCTGAACGACTGTGCCTGAAGCTGCAGTTGTGGGAGTGGTGTCCAGCCTCTGGCCACTCAGCTGCTGAGAGCGTCTTCATTACTGCCACTACCTCACGGCTTTCCTGGGAATGGAGGGAAGCTTCTAGTTCCATGGGAAATTTCATAAACCAGTCCTGGAATTTCAGTAGCACCTCAGGGAGTCAGGCCTGCCCCACAACCTCAGAGCCAGGTGAAATTGCAGTCCCCTCACCTGGGAAAAACAACAGCCCTCTTTGCCTCATGGGGGTGAGTTATTGTGAGGAACGAATAAGATACTATCTGTGAAAGCACACATAATCACTAAAACCTATCCGAATGGGAGGGACAATAATGACGAACGAGAAGGAAAAGAATAATAATAGAGTTCTGATGCCAAGAAGAACAAAAGCCTCTGAGGTTTTAGGGTTGGGTGGTTTGCTCAAGTTGCAAAAGCAGCAAAATTTGACCCTTTAATGATAACTATGTGACAGGGCTAATTGTGAATGCCTTCTCAGACAACCTTAGCTGGAGTTTAAGCCAAGCCCAGTATTCTATGCAATATCCTGATTTAATGATCTCCTACTGAGAACAAGGCCAGATCTACTGATTCACTGAATGCATGAAAATCAATGTCAATATTACCCACTGAAGATAGGGATGAGGTAGGCTTCTCAAAGGTGAAGACTGAGTCTTGAAAATTAGTTGGGGCACCTGGGTGGCTCAGTCAGTTAAGTATCTGTTTCTTGGTTTCAGCTCAGGTCATGATCTCATGGTTCATGGGATCAAGCCCCACACTGGGTTCTGCACTGACAGTGTGGAGCCTGTGTAGGATTCTCTCTCTTCTTCTCTCTCTGTCCCTCCCCTGCTCACATGCACGCATGCACGTTCTCTCTTTCTCAAAATAAATATTTTTTCAAATATAAAAAAAAGTAAGATAATCAGTAAAAGTTTACAAACAGCTGTAGAGGAGAAGGAAGGGCATTCTAGAAAGAGGTAGCTGAATGTGCAGAAGTAAGAAAGCAACCCCCCCCCCCAAAAAAAAAGCATGCAGGAGATGAAGGGATGAGGCAGAATGAGGAATGCAGAATGGTATTTTGGCTTGGGGCACCTGGGTGGCTCAGTTGCTTAAGCATCCAACTCTTGATTTCTTTCAGCTTAGGTCATGATCTCACAGTTCATGAGATCTAGCCTCACGGGATTTTCCCTCTCTCTTTCTGCCCCTCCCCTGCTCTTGCACATATGCTCTCTCTCTCTCTCTCAAAATAAATAAATAAACTCTAAAATAATGGTATTTTGACTACATGATGTTTTGATTTACAATAAGAAATATATACAGTTGACCCTTAAATGTAGTGATTAGGGGCACTGACCACCTCACAGCGGTAAGTCTGCATATAACTTTTGACTTCCTCAAAACTTAACTGCTGATAGCCTACTCTTGACTGGAAGTCTTACCAGTAACGTAAACTGTCAACCTACATTTTGTGTATGTATTATATACTGTTTTCTTACAGTAAAGTAAGCTGGAGAAAAGAAAATGTTATTAATAAAATCATAAGTACTTACTATGGACTTATGCAGTTCAAGCCTGTGCTGTTTAAAGGTCAACTGTATTTGGCCTTCATCCAATCCCTGGCACAGAACTCCTAAAACCCATGAATATCCTAAGTGATAAGAGTGATTAAATTGTCTTTTGTTGTCATTAATGAACAACTTTTGAAAAACACCTATGGATGAGAGCTGGTTTCCAGTGGAGCCAACCATATTATTAGAAGGTTTGGAACTTTCAGTCTCACTCCTTTGACTGAGGAGGGCAGAGGGCCTGGAAGTATAATCAATCATGTCTATGTAATGAAACCTCCATAACAGCCCAAAAAGACAAGGCTTGGAGAGCTTCTGGGTTGGTGAACCAAACACACCCATGTGCCAGGCCCCAAACTCCACAGAAACAGAAGCTTTTGTGTGCAGGACCTCACCATATGTATCTCTTCATCTGGCTATTCATTGTCATTCTTTAACATCTTTTGTAATATACTAGTAATGTAGTAGGTAAACTGGTTTCCTGAGTTCTGTGAGCCACTCTAACAAATCAATTTGACCCAAAGAGTAGGGATCTATGAACCTCTGATTTCTAACTAGTCTGTCAGGAACAGATAGTAACCCATGCTTGGACTGGTGACTGGCACCTGATGTGTAAGACTGAGCCCCTAGCCTGTGGCATCTGATGGTACCTCCAGGTATATCATGTCAGAATTGATATCAGCAGGTGTTGGAGTATTGCTTGGTATAGGGAAAAAACCCATGCATTAGAACTGGTGTCAGAATCATAGGCTAAAACACCCTGGTCTTTGATGTCAGAAAGATGAAACAAGAGACAGGTTTTTTAGGTGACCCTGAATCCAAAAGCCAGGCAGAGCCTCCAAATGAGTAGTAAAATTTACTAGATTTCACTACTGGTAAGAAGACTAGACAGAGGGGAGAGGAATTTGGTAAAAAGCAGTGGTGCAGAAATCAGAGAGCAGCCAAACCAAACCTCCAAACCCAAGGATGGGAGGCAGAGCCTGAAGAAGTACTTGATTTGTACATGGTTCCAGTGCTCAAAGACAAGAGTGTGACTTGAAGACTTATGAGTAACGTCCAGCCCAGGATGTGACCTACAATTAGATGAGTGGACCAGAACTGCTAGAAAAAGCAGAAGATGAGACAAGGATCTAGGGCCCAGGGAACACCAAAATTTAACGAGTGGTTTCAAGAGGAGTCAATGAAAGGGCCTAAAAAAATTCAGCCAGAGAGGTCCAAAGTCTCCCTAGTCTCCACTACTTCTCTCAGCTCCACTCTCCCTTCATTGTGCCCCTCATTCTTGAGCTAATTCTTGATCTTTCTCTTCCACCCTCTCCATCAAAACTCCTCTTCTTCTGAGTGTAGGAAAGCAATCCACATTTGGGTTCAAATGACCACTTCTTCTTTACCTTCAGCCAGTCCTAGAGTGTTAACCTCTAAGTGTAAATTAATCTCCAATGGGTACACTTTCAGCCTACTTGGGAATGATAAAGAAAACTTTGGCTGTGGCCATGCTGGCTATTTACTTCAGCTTGGGGTAGAGAAGCAGAGGAGAGAGTTGAAAGTAGCTCTGAAGCCCCTCTGAAGTCCTAATTTAGTGACACTCATGTGGTTCCCTCCTACTCATGCCCCATTCATAATGAGGAACATCCATGTTTTGAATCTACTGGAAACCTTTAACAACAGCCATGCATACCTAGAAATTCTGGGAACTCAGACAAGCCAAACACTGGTGACCTAGGTGTGGTTCAGTTTTAGATTGAATATCCTTCTTTCTTCACTCCCTTTATGGCCTTTCAGCAAGAACAGAACAACTTAGGCTCTCAGATGCCACACAGGAAACTGATGGAGAGAGTAGTAGAGAAGAGGATATCTCTCTCCGTCCATCTTCTCCCTCTGGGAGTGCCATCAAGCATCTTTTCTTCCGATATAGCCATTATGAAAAACAGTTGGGAGTTTCTTCAAAAAATTAAAATTAGAGTGATCTTATGATCCAGAAATCTCACTCTTGGTATATATCCAAAGAAAATGAAATCAGTATCTTGGGAGAGATATCTGCATATCCATGTTCACTACAGCATTGTTGACAGCAGCCACGATACAGAAACAACCTAAAAGTCCATTGACAGGTGAATGGATAAAGGAAATGTGATATATATATATGTGTATATATAATGGATTATTCAGACTTTGCAAAGAAGGAAATCTTGACATTTGTGATGATATGTGTGAACCCAGAAGATATTTTATGAAGTGAAAGAAGCCAGACACAGAAAGATAAATACTGCATGATCTCACTTATATGTGAATCTACTATGGTCAAATTCATTAAAGCAGAGAGTAGAGTGGTAGTTACCAGGGGTTAGGGCGAGGGGAAAATAGGGAGATGCTGGTCAAGGGGTACAAAGTTTTACAAGATGAACAAGCTCTGGAGATCAAATATATAGCAATGTGACTAGAGTTTTCAATACTGTATTATACACTTGAAATTTGATAAAAGAGTAGATCTTAAGTTTTCTCAGCACCAAAAGAAAAAAAACGTGGCAAGATGAGATGATGTATATGTTAATTAGCTTTGACTGTGGCGATTATTTTTAAGCATATTTTTATTTATTTATTTAAGTAATCTCTACCTCCAATGTGGGGCTTGAACCCATGACCCTAAGATCAAGAGCTGCATGTTCTTCTGATTCAGCCAGCTTGGCACCCCTGGAAAATGTTTTTTAATGCATTTGTATATCTAAACATCAAATCATACACCTTAAATATATACAGCTTTTATTTGACAATTACACCTCAATACAGATAGGGAGAAAACCAGCAATAAAAAAAAAAAAAAACCAATAAGAAAACAAGCAAACAAATCACATATTTTCTTCCATTCTTCACTCCTTTTCTTTCTTCCTCCATGCCTGCTTTCCTTTCCTTCTTTCTTCCTTCCTTCCACAAATAAGCATTGAGCATCCTCCGTATCAGGTACCAGGCACTAGGAATCCAACAGTGAGCATTCAGGCAGCCTTTCCCCTTATAGATTCACAGGTGGGAAGAAGCTCTGTCCCTTTGGCTGGTGACTTAAAGGGCCTTATGAGGGTGCCACTTAGTTACTTTCCAGAACTACTCCATAGGCCCTCCTGCTCCTTCCCATATTTCCAATCTTTCCCCATCTCTCCATCATCTAACTTTGAAAATATTAGTAAAGTCATCCAAAGGTTTTACCTCCCAGGAAGCAAAGGATTGAGTTGCAGTCAACATTCTTTCTCTATGACATTTGATTAATACACTATCTTGTAACACATTATCAGACACCTTTTTTCTTTTCTTTTCTTTTCTTTTCTTTTCTTTTTTTTTTTTGAGAAAGAGGGAGGGGCAGAGAGAAAGAATCCCACGCAGGCTCCATGCACACAACCATGAGATCATGACCTTAGCTGAAATCAAGAGTCAGACGCTTAACCAACTGAGCCACCCAGGGAACCAAAGACTCTTTTTTTTTTAACCTGGTAATTCTATGACCACGAAGTTAATCATTTTTTTCCTGTTCGTAGTACAATCTCTGATTTTTTTCATAAATTTTGGCTTACTCACAGTCTGCTGCGTACACTCCTCCCTCTTTACATAGAAATACATATTTATACTTTATATGCAAAATATACATAACAGAAGAACCAAAACAGCCAAAAATATTAACATCTACTTTAAAATTAATAAAAATTTGGATGCATTTTATTATATGTATCCTTTTGCATTATAGTTACTATTTAGATATTTCTTTTAAACTTTTCACTTTCACTCACAGACTTTTACAAATGTATCATTAACTGTAATTACTCTTTTTGATGCTCAAAAGAATCATGACGAGGCCAGTGGGAACCCTCTTATGTTGGCTTTATTGCCCAATCAGCATGATTTCAAAAATTTTGGAAGCACTTTTTCTTGGATGTTACAAGCCCCTCTTGATTTTTCCCTGCTCCAAGACATGGAAATGGTAATGCTTCAAAATGCCTTGGTTTCTTCTTAGGAGCAGAACAGAATCCAAAATCTGGATGTTGGGTGTGTAAATCAATTTGGTAGTGAGTTGTTTCCAGGTAAGAGACCCAAAGATTTTTCTTTTTAAGTCCACCAGTTTGTATTACAACTTTCCATTTGGGGAGCACCTGGGTGGCTCAGTCAGTTAAGCATCTGACTTCGGCTCAGGTCCTGATCTCCTGGTTTATGAGTTCAAGCCACACATTGGGCTCTCTGCTGTCAGTGCAGAGCATGCTTCAGAAACTCTGTCCCCCTCTGTCTCTGCCCCTGCCCCACTCTCTCTCTCTGTCTCTCTCTCTGTGTCTCTCTCAAAAATAAAACATTTAAAAGATCAAATGAAATAAAATAAAATAAAATAAAACAAAATAAAATAAAATAAAATAAAGTGACACTTTCCATTTTTATCCAACTGGAAATTACTTTTGTTCTAACATAAAAATATACTTCCTTAACTTACCATATACTTCCTTTTTTAACCTCTAACCAAATCTATAATTATAACCTCTTCTTCTTTATAATTTTTATTTGAATTACCAATCACCATTCAGAAGTCTCCTGATTGATACAAATTTGTTTGCATTCTTTTTTTGGTCCAGAATAAATTTAGTAAGAAAGATTTTCCAGTTAACTGTTATTATCTATACCCTGGTTATTTATAAATGACCTATGTTCTTCTTCAATTCTAATCCTTTTGGGGAGCACCTGGATGGCTCAGTCAGTTGAGCATCTGACTTTTGAGTTCAGTTAAGGTCATAATTCTAGGGGTGTGGGATTAAGCCCTGCATCAGATTCTGTGCTAAGCATTGAGCCTGCTTAAGATTCTCTGTCTCTCCCTCTGTCCCTCTCCCCCATTTGTGCTCCCTCTCTCTCTTTCGTTTACTTATAAAATATATAAATGAATAGATTAGTATTGCAATCAAGTAAAACTTGATATCAAAGAAACTGATACAAATTTTATGATTTGTTATTGTGGTAATAAGATAATCCAGCATGTATGGAAAAGTTTATACAAATGATGATAATTTCACATGAAGATGGTATGTTAAGGGTCAGATGGTAGAAGAGATAGAGAAAAATTAGAAATACAGGAAGTAGCAAGAAGCCCTCTGAGGTCCCACTGAACAGTTCTGAAATGGTAACTCAGCAACACCAACATAGTGCTCTTCAAGTCATCAGCAGAAGGGCCAGGGCCTCCTCCCAAGTAGAAGTCCAGGAGGGAAGGGCCTCCTGGACTGCATGCTCATTGTTAGATCCCTTGTGCCTGGCACAATATCTGATACAGAGAAAATGTTCAACACATATTTGTGGAAGAATGAAAAGAAGGAAGGCATGGAGAGGGATGCCTGGGTAGCTCAGTCGGGTAAGTCCCTGACTTTGGCTCTGGTCATGATCTCATGGCTTGTGAGTTTGAGCCCAGTGTCAGGCTCTGTGCTAACAGCTCAGGGCCTGGAGCCTGCCTCAGATTCTGTGCCTCCCTGTCCCTCTGGTCCTCCTCCACTCATTCTCTGCCTCTCTGTCTCAAAAATACACATTAAAAATAATAAATAAATAAATAAATAACAAGAAGAAAGGCATGGAAAAAGGAAGGGAGTAAGTGATTAATATATATGACATACTTATATTTCCAGTTATTCCAAACAACTAGATCAATACATAACAAAAGGGAATACAATGAATTATATAATACTAAATAAAACTTTAAAAATACATAATTTGAAAAAAATAAAAATAAAAATAAAAAAAATAAAAATACTTAATTTCAGGAAATCCCCTATGAAAGATGTGGGCATGACAAGTAACACTGATAGAACAAATAAAGGTTTTTATTTTTAATTTTTAATTTAATTTTATTTTAGTGAGAGAGGGAGACCGAATGGGGAAGAGGGGCAGAGGGAAGGGGGGAAGAGAGAGAGAGAATCTTAAGCAGGCTTTGCACTTAGCATGGAGCTCAACTCTAGGCTCCATCTCACCACCGTGAGATCATGACCTGAGTCAAAATCAAGAGTCAGACACTTAACTGACTGAGCCACCCAGGCTCCCCAAAGGTTAATGATTTAAAGGAGGCAAGCTTCTACATAGTGTTCCATTTGTATGGAATGTCCAGAATAGGCAAAGTCCTACAGACAGAAAGTTGATTAGTGGTTGCATAGGGCTTGGAAGAGGGGGATATGGAGAATGGCTGCTAATGGATTTCTTAGTGGAGTGATGAAAATGTTCTAACATTGATTGTAGTAATAGTGGCACAACTCTGAAGATATTGAAAATCATTGAATTGTATACTTTAAATGGTGAATTGTATGATATATGAATTTTATCTCAATAAAGCTGTTATGAAGGTGGAACCAACCTGATGTCTGCCAGTTCAGATTTAGAAGGTGCCACTAGCCACCTGCTCTAGCCAAGAATCAACTATAAATAACTCCAACCTATCAAAATAACCTATAACCTTGGCCAGTATGAGGTGGTATTATTTTAATTTGGGATCTAGTGGTATTATTTTAATTTAGGATCTAGTAAAATTACTGTAACCCTAGAAAAGCATAAAAATAAATACTACTTATAAATATACAGATAATGAAAAAATAAAACTATGATTTTAATACTTTCACATTCAATTTTTTTTTAATATTTATTTATTTTTGAGACTGAGCACGAGCACGAGAGGGGCAGAGAGAGAGGGAGACACAGGATCCGAAACAGGCTCTGAGCTGTCAGCACAGAGCCTGATGCGGGGCCCAAACCCATGAACTGTGAGATCATTACCTGAGCTGAAGTTGGACGCCCAACCGACTGAGCCACCCAGGTGCCCCTTTCACATTCAATTTAAATGTAGTTCTAGCCTTTGTGATTATTTGACTTTTGGGTTTCTGTCTGCCCTTTGGTGTGTTAGGATGTTAGAAATGTTCAGAGAATTGATCATACTGGGTTTATAAATGTAATTTGAATTGTTTAAGGGAATTTAGTTAAGTTTATGCAGTGACGATGAAGATGGACTCCCTAACACTCATTCACTCTGGGATAATTAGTAAAACCCAACTGGCAATCCCATTCTCCTTGCCAGTGATTGGTCTAGGAATAGGCATGTGGCCTATGATCTGACCAATGAGTTGTAAGTAAAGTCCACCGTGGGATTTCTGAGAGAGGTTTTCACAGTCTTGCCCCCGCCCCCCACATCTCCCTAAGAGGAAATAAAAGAATCCCACTTCCTCCTCTGAATTGTTGTGTCTGGATATGATAATGTTCATATGATAATGTCTGGATATGATAATGTCATTGCAGCAGCCACATTGTGACAAGGCTGAGGATGCTGCCAATACATGGAGAAGGGCAAAACCCAAGAGAGTCACAACAAAATGGAGCCAGAGCTCCACTGTACCGCATCCACAGCCCACCTCACCTCAGAGATTCACGTTATGTGAGATAATACATTTCCTTGTTATCTAAGCCACTTTGAATTAGGGTTTTCTGTTATTGTCACCCCAAATAAATATAAGTTGTGACCCAGCAATAGTGCTAGTAGGAATTTATCCGAAGGTTACAGGAGTGCTGATACATAGGGGCACATGTACCCCAATGTTCACAGCAGCACTTTTAACAATAGCCAAATTATGGAAAGGGCCCAAATGTCCACCAACTGATGAATGGATAAAGATGTGGTTTGCATATACAATGAAATACTACTTGGCAATGAGAAAGAATGAAATTCTTTCATTTGCAACAATATGGATGGAACTGGAGGGTATTATGCTGAGTGAAATAAATCGGTCGGAGAAAGACTGATATCATATGTTTTCACTCATATGTAGAACTTGAGAAACTTAACAGAGGACCATGATAGGGAGGGAAGGGGATATATAGTTTCAAACAGAGAGAGAGGCAACCCATAAAAGACTCTTGAATGCGGAGAACAAACTGAGGGTTGATGGAGGGGGCGATGGGCATTGAGGAGGGCACTTGTTGGGATGAGCACTGGATGTTGTATGTAAGCAGTGAATCATGGGAATCTACCCCCAAAACCAAAAGCACACTGTGTACACTGTCGAGCTAAATTTTAAAAAACAAAAAAAGATCAATGACTTAAATAAAACACCCGAAAGCATAGAACTCCTAGAAGTAAACAAGAAAGTTCCTTGACAAAAAAAAAAATAATTAATTAAATATAAGTAATCAGGATTTAAATGTAAAAATGTAACGTAATACATTTTTATTTTCTAAGTTTTATGAGGCTTGTAAATTTGATAAATTAAGCATCAGTTATCTCGATACTGGAAGTCGCAGACTGTTTCTCAGAAGCCCTTGGACTTTAAAGAACCTAGAAATACTACCAAGAGACAAATTTCAAAGATGGATTCATCCCTTGGGGGTACCTGGGTGGCTCAGTTGGTTAAGCATCTGACTCTTGATTTCAGCTCAAGTCATGGTCTCCCAGTCGGTAATGAGCTCCCTGTGGAGCTCCATGCTGAGCACGGAGCCTGCTTAGGATTCTCTCTTTCCTTCTCCCTCTGCCCCTCCCCTGCTTGTGCTTTCTCTCTCTCTCTCTCTCTCTCTCTCTCAAAATAAGTAAAATAAACATTTTAGAAAATTTTTTTAAAGAGAGGAATTCCTCCTCTCGATCCTCATATGAACATCTGCTGGTCACATGACACATGTATTCAGCTGTAGCATTAAATATAAACTCAGAGAAGACATATCAGCAGGAGTCATAAATACTGACTTCTTCTGGTATCGTTTCTGGTGGAGGAAGGCAAGTTATAGGGAACCCAAAGGGACAAAACACTAGTAGTCATGCTCTCCATCAATGACCGAAGAGGATTTCACAGACCCAGAGTCCCCAACACAAATGCCTTTAGGGTTCAGGCAGTTTCCGCAACTGAACTGAGTGGAAGTGAGGCAGAAGGAAATGGTGGTCCCATCTACAGGGAGTGCCTCCCCACTCAGACTGATGATGTCACTATGAGAAAAAGCTACAGCTCAGTGTTGCCAGATCTTCCCCTTTCCAACAAAAGTCAGAAATCTGGATCATGTGAATTTTTAGATCAGGGCAACCAATTCAACTTCAAAAACAAAAACAAAACATTGTGTGGCCAAACAGAACACAACTATAGGCTGTCCACAGGCTGCCAGTTTGCAACCTCACCCCATACGTTTACAGCATGTCCATAGAGTAGATAAGCGCAAAAGTTGAGACATCTGCCCTGTGCTGCCAGGTAGAACAAACATTTCCCTCCCACGGGTGCTTCTTCGACATTTACATTCAGGCCTACACAGGCTAGAAAGATGTGATTCCTACCAACAGCCCAGCAAGAAGGATTAGCTGCAAAATGCACCTACGGAGTGATCTGTTTACACTGAGGCTGTTTAAATGTCCTCTGCTTGAACGTTGAAGACCAACAGGACACACAATTTGCATTTCAATCCTTGCGAGAGCCAAGTTGCATAACAGCGATTAGCCACCAATGTGATCAGTCCTGCTGAACTCCTTTGCTGTGTTCCTAGGCTTTCTAAACTAGGGGCAACCATTCACTGGCAAATGAAAAACAGAGAGAGAGAAAGGCTGAAACTGCTGGTCTCAGTGAGACACTAGTCTCAAGAGAGCTGGAGTCTCATAACAGGGCTCTGGAGCTTCCCAGCATACCTCAGCACAGTCCGTGGTCTGCGGGGGTCACACAACAAATATTCTCTGGTTTCTTGAAGATAAGAGTAAACCAAGGCTTGGGAATGCCTCTGACTCATAGAAAAGTCTGCTCATTTTCATGGGTCTATTTGGGTATTATTTAAAAATATGTGTGATATGACACATTATAGCAGGAGGAACTTAGGTTAGATATTAAGAACAATTTCCTGACTAACAGGTTGTGAAACATAAGAGCAGGTTACGAATGAGGAAGTGAAGGCTCCATCTATGCTGGACATTTCCGCTAGGGTAAACGCCTGATTCTGTTGGTCAGATGCTATCACTAAGTCGGTAGTGTTTGTGTGATCTGTCTCTTCTAGCATGCTTTTCACTTTTTTTTTTTTGTAAAGATTTTTAAAGTATCTCTATACCCAACTTGGGGCTTGAATTCACAACCCTGAGATCAGGACTCACATGCTCCACCGACTGATCTAGCCAAGTACCCCTTGCTCTTCACTCTTTATTTTTTAATGTTTATTTACTTTCACCCATGCAAGAGAGAGACAGAGAGACCAAGAGACAGAGTGCCAGTGGAGGAAGGGCAGAGAAAGAGGGAGACACAGAATCCAAAGCAGGCTCCAGGCTCTGAGCTGTCAGCAGAGAGCCCGATGCGGGGCTCGAACCCATGAACTGTGAGATCATGACCCGAGCCAAAGTCAGATGCTTAAACGACTGAGCTACCCAGGCGCCCCCCTGCTCTTCATTCTTTTTTTTTTTTTTTAATATTTTATTTATTTCTAGCAGAGAGAGAGAGACAGCGTGAGCAGGGGAGGGTCAGAGAGAGAGGGAGTCACAGACTCTGAAACAGGCTCCAGGCTCTGAGCTGGCAGTCAGCACAGAGCCCGATGCGGGGCTCGAACCCACGAACTGCGAGATCATGACCTAAGCGAAAGTCGGACGCTTAACCGACTAAGCCACCCAGGCGCCCCTCCTGCTCTTCATTCTTAATAAGAGTTGCCATTTATAAAGGGTTAACATGCTCACCTTTTAAGTCCTTTATCTTACTAAGTACTCATAGAAATCCAGTAAGATAAGTTATCCCCATTTTGCAGATGAGGAAGCTGAACCTTGAGAGATGAAATAACTTGTTGAAGTTCATCCAGTCAGGGCTAGGATTAGAATCTACCTCTGAGGTGTGGTTTCCAAGTCCAGGCCCTTTTTATAAGACCATTTTGCTTCAGATCCTTTGGCAGAGCACCTATGACAACCTGGGGGGAAAAGAGACCAAAGGGCAGGTTCAGACAAAGAAAACATTGTCCAAAACAGTTCTGAGAGCACTGCTGAGGTCCAAAGAGGAAGCCAGTGTCAGGAAGAAAGATAAGATGCCAACCAGGGAGGAGACAGAGACTCGAAGGAGAGGCAAGGTCAGAACCTAGAAGTCAAGGGATATCCTTCTAGAAATGAATTTGCACTGATTTGGATGGTCCAGGAAGTGAATTACTGAACAGAGAGTTCCTTTTAAGCAACACTCCGCTTGTGCTGACAAGCCTGCCAAGCGCCAGGCTGGGTGCTGCTGACCTGCCCAGCTCAGATTTTCCTTTGGTGACTCCTGACTTGCTAACAATGCCTTTGGACAATTCCCGTTCCCACTGTCCCACCCACCAGCAATTGTCTTTCATGTACAGGAGCTGAAACACTGTTTCCAACAATGACTCTGCAAGGTAGTCAAGTGTTTACGTTCACGTTCACGTTCAGGATACCTGTAACGGTGAAACTTTCCTTCTCTAAAATATTGTCCCTTTGGTTTCTGCCCTCATAGGACCCGGGTTCCTGGAATAGCATCATTGCTACAAAATAGGAGAAGGCAGGCTGAAAATTAGTGAGTCCCTACAGCCCCAATACATTATACGTTAAGCCACACTGCCTTTCCTACTTAACACTTGTGGCTGAAAAGCGTTTCTCTATTGTAAATCAGCCAAAGAGCAGCTCCAAGACAACTCTGGAGGAGGTATGTTATTTCAAGAGATAATCTGGGTCCCTTTTTTGTTTTATTGAAGTGTCATCAACATGCAGCGTCACATTAGTTTCATATGTACAACGTAGCGATTTGACAATTCTGTATATTACTCACTGCTCACCACCAGCTGTGACTACCATGTGTCACCACACAACGTTATGACAATCTTCTTGGCTCTGTTTCTCATGCTGTACTTTTCATCTCCATGACATACTTATTTTATAACTGGAAGTCTGCACGTCATAAGAGCTTGTTTTCCCAAACTCCACTTGACCTTGGCAGCTCCAGACCCTGTGCCCAATAGGAGATCTAAGGAAATGAGCACAACCCCAGAGACACAGAACAGACTCACCCGGCTGCGCTTCCAACGGCTCCACTAGAACTCGTAGCACTTCCTTTCATTCAACTCAAAACTTCCTGAAAGCTCAGGCCTCCAGGATCAGGAGGCAGGCCCAAACCTGCCCTGCTGGTCGGTGCCTTTGGGAAGTTTCTTCATTCAGTCTGTGCTTTCCTGAAGCACATTGCTCGTAATAAGGGCAGGGAGAGAAAACTAAAGCAGAAGTTAAACAAGCAAATAAATAAATAACTTTTTTTTTTCTCACTGGTCTTAGCTAGGCCAGGTCAATAAATCAATGCAAGGACACATCTGCCTGAAATTATTTCTCTCACCCCACTCTCCACTCACTATGAAGAAAGCCAGAGCTGACTCATCTATGACTCCAGTGGAAGGCGAAAGGTCTCCAAAGCCTTCTGAGAGTTTGACCTATGGATTAACAGAATTTGGGGGAATGCTTTGGATTTTAGGTTCATTCCGTTATCCCACCGTCATTTATTGAACAGCACCTATTTTCTAGGTGCTGAGTTAGGAGCGGTGAGTGCCCCAGAGATGACCAGAGCACAGACCCTGCTCTCTAGCTGCTTAGAGTGTAGAGAGGAGACAAAGTACAAATCAGATGAGTATAAATAGAAGGGAAAAAACGTAAGTGCCACAAGAGAGCGAGAACCACATAATAGTCATTATTTATATTTGAATGGGACTTTCTGAAGTCAGTTTCCCTCTATCAGTTCATTTGTTCCTCAGCACACCTGTGGAGGATCTGCAGTGATTCTTGTTCAGCATCTTCTCACTGTCCTGATAAATGTAACTCAACTTCTCACTGGAGAATCCATTTACCCACTGTCAGCCCATGTGCTGCCGCCAGGACTACCCCCGACGTCTGAGGTAGGACTGTCTCCTGGGTCACAGCCAATCCAAGCATCCAATTCTTCTGGTTGTAGCAACCACCTCAGAGATGGGAATATGATCTAATGAAAGCAATGAGAATTTAGTTGAAACTTCTGCAAAAGAAGTTCTCAGGCTTGTCTGCTACAGTTGAAGCAGAAACACTCTGGGTTTTGGTACTGCTGCCAACCATCTTTCCACTCTTTGAACTTGAGCCTGAAGGCGGCAGTAAAAGGCAGAGCTGAGAGAACAATGTAAAGGTCCTGATGATATCATTTGAGCTTTGAATTCACCCATGCCTGAAGCCATCTCTGCCCCTAGATCTATGTAAACCTATACGGGCGCTTTTGTTAGTTTGGGTTTTCTGTCACTCCAAACAAAGAGTCATAAAGAAAGGCTCTAATTCTGTGAGATAAATATTTCCATCTCTGTGTTATAAATGAAAAGTTGAAGGTCACATAGGTTTAAAAAAGGGGGGTGGGGAGGGACAGCTAAGAAGTAGCAGAGCCCAGACCTAAGCCCACAAGTCCTGATATCAATTTGCAGGACTTTGAAAGGCAGGTTGGGGGAGGCTGGGTGGCTCAGTCAGTTAAGCTGCTGACTTTGCCTCAGGTCATGATCTCATGATTTTTCAAGAGTTGTAGCCCCTTGTCACACTCTGCTGGCTGTGTGGAGCCTGCTTCAGATCCTCTGTCCCCTACCCTTTCTGCCCCTAACCCACTTGTGCTCTCTTTCTCAAAAATAAATAAAACATGAAAGAAAGAAAAAAGAAAGAAAGGAAGGAAGAAATGAAGGAAGGAAGAAAGAAAGGAAGGAAGGAAGAAAGGTTGGATTTCACCAGAGCTGATGGCAAAAGTATTATGGGTAAAGGGAGACTTACATGCAAGATTGTGGATATGAGAAACTCGGGTAGCTGGACAATAGCAAGTACTTCAATTTCTCAAATGCATTGGGTATGTAAGAAAAGATAACAGAAAATATATTTGTGAACAGAATGTTTGGGGAACTTGTAATTTATTCTGAAGCTCAGTAATTTCCAAATGACCCCACTATATATTTTTTTAATTTAAAATGTTTTTATTTATTTATTTAGTTTGTTTTTATTTATTTTTGAAAGAGAGACAGAGGGCAAGGGGAGAGGCAGAGAGAGGGAGACACAGAATCCAAAGCAGGTTCCAGGCTCTGAGCTGTCAGCACAGAACCTGAAACAGGGCTGGAACTCACAGATGGCAAGATCATGACCTGAGCTGAAGTTGGACACTTAACTGACTGAGCCACCCAGGCGCCCTAAATGTTTTTATTTATTTTCGAGAGACAGAGACAGAGACACAGCATGAGGGGGGAAGGGACAGAGAGAGAGGGAAACACAGAATCTGAAACAGGCTCCAGGCTCTGAGCTGTCAGTAGAGAGCCTGACGTGGAGCTCAAACTCATAAACCTCGAGATCATGACCTGAGCTCAAGTTGTACACTGAACTGACTTAGGCACCCAGGTGCCCCTCAAAACTCCACTGTATTAAAGATTGCTTCAAGTGACTAGAACTCAAGTTTAGTTGTACAAGATCTTGAGGATGAGGTTTACTGGCCCAGGAAAGAAGGCTCAAAAAATCCCAGTGAGGAGAAAGCATCAAACTCTTTGCTTTGAGTTCAAAAATGATATCTTGAAAGCAGGACAAGATCTCTCTGAGACTGAAAGCAAGAAAGGGAAATTCTCAGGAAGCAAAAATCAGAGTCACAGCTAGCATGGTGAGCAGAATCTGAAGCTGGAAAAGAATAGGCCTTAGATATTAAGGATGAGATTTTAACATGGATGTGGCAACAGACGATAAGGCTTTGTGCCTAACAAGTCCTGGACTTGTAACAAAGGTCCTACCTGCTCCCCGTAAGAGGATAGAAAAACCCTGTTTACCAGCCAGGGGAAGGAGCAAGAAAGCTTGCCATTGGCCTGGATCACAGGGAGAAAAACAATTTTCTGTGATAAATTGAACCCCCAGGGCTGTTTTTGCACCAGCATGGAACCTGAACTCACAGGTACATCAGGTTCTGTGCGTTATCCATCAGGTGCAGGTCACAAGATGTTGTGCAATATACAAACAAAGTCATACCTAGATAGTATAATAAAACTGGAGAACATCAATAATAAAACTGGAGAACATAAGAAACAAAAATCTATAATCTATGAAAAAAGACAAGAGTACCTACAAAAGACTAACAAACTGAATGCAGCAAGCTACTTAATCAGCAACAGTTATTGCCAGAAGACAAAAAGAGATTTTTTTTTACATTTATTTATTTTTGAGAGACAGAGAGAGGCATAGCACAAGGGGGGAGGAGCAGAGAGAGAATGAGACACAGAATCCAAAGCAGTCTCCAGGTTCTGAGCTAACTGTCAGCACAGAGCCCGACGCGGGGCTCGAAACCACGAACCGTGAGATCATGACCTGAGCTGAAGTTGGACGCTTAACTGACTGAGCCACCCAGGCACCCCCAAAAAGAGATCTTAAAACTTCTCATCTATCAAGCTGCAAAGACAACAAGAAAAAGAATCAGTAGAGTGCCAGGTAATCAAGCAGAGTGATGTTTTAAGAACGAGTCAGTAATGCAGCACTATTTACCATAACCAAGACATAGAAACAACCTAAGTGTCCATCAGTGAATAAATAGATAAAGAAAATGTGATTCACAGACACACACATATACATACGGTGAAATATTATTCAGCCATATAAAAGGAAATCCTGCCATTTGTGACAACGTGGATGGATCTTAAGGACATTATGCTAAGTGAAATAAGGCAGAGAAAGACAAATACTGTGTGGTCTCACTTATATGTGGAGTCTAAAAAAAATAGTAACTCAAACTCATAGATACAGAGAACAGATTAGTGGCTACCACAGATGAGTGTTGGAGGAGAGGGCATAGTGGGTTAAGGCAGTCAAAAGGTACAAACTTCCAGTTATAAGATAAATAAGCCAAGGCAATGTAATATACAGCATGGTGATGAGTTAATAATACTGCATCATAAATTTGAAAGTTGCTAAGATGATAGATTTTAAAAGTTCTCATTACAAGGAAAATATTGTAAATATATGTGGAAATGGATGCTAACTAAACCTATGGTGGTAATCATTTGCAATATATACATATATCGAATCATTATGTTGTACACCTAAAACTTATACGATGTTATACATCAATTATATCACAAAAATAAGCATGACTTACGTCAAAACCTGCCGAATAGTCAAGAACATTAGGACAGAGAAATGTCCATTGGAGTTGGCAATGTAGAGATCATTGGTGAGTCTGACTGAATGGTTTCAGCAGAGGGTGGAGGACAGAAAGCAGGTATGAGGAGGTTGAAGTCAACACAAGGAAGTACATTTATATCTCCAAAACCCCTTTGCTTCACATAGCCATGACATTTAAAATGTAAAAAAATTTTTTTAATTTAAAATAAAAATTAGTTTTGGGGCGCCTGGGTGGCTTAGTCGGTTAGGTCATGATCTCGCGGTTCGTGGGTTCGAGCCCCGCGTCGGGCTCTGTGCTGACTGCCGGCTCAGAGCCTGGAGGCTGTTTCAGTCTGTGACTCCCTCTCTCTCTGACCCTCCCTTCACGGTGTCTCTCTCTCTCTGTCTCTCCTAGAAATAAAGAAAAAATATTTAAAAAAATAAATAAATAAAAATTAGTTTTTAAAAAGATACAGCTAACTCTTACATATCCCCATGAACCAAAGATGGAGTAGAAACACAGTACAATGAATGGGGTAAAGTCTCAGGCTTAGGGACTCTAAGTCTAGAAGCTGGACAGGGGCAGCTGGGCAAGAGTTCAGCTTCTGTGGGGATAAAGTGCTTCCGTCAGTGTAGGAGACTGATG